CCCTCTATCCAACACCCTGCCAAAAAACCCCTTCCCTTCTCTCTCATTACCCCGCCGCCCCACCAACCCGCAAATGAACCCCCCTGAACCCACCCATGCCACCCCCCTTGTGCACCATCACCCAAATACCCGCAGAGAACGTCACGCTCAATCCTTGCAAAGAGCTTGCGCAATTTTCAACAGCGCATCACACAGCATCCGTTGTCCGAAAGTGCTGACGTTTAAAAAAAAAAAAAAAAAAAAAAAAACATCCACTGTCCGGAATCCCAAACCTGTCACTGTGTGTCCTGCGCCCTCACCTCCCTCTCCATAATGTCGCACTGTCGCTGCAACACATCGCACTGCTGTTTGCTCATCCTGTCCACAGAGTGGGCGACGACTTTGGAGTGGGACTGCATGAAGTCCGTCACGGCTTCGAAAGCATTCTGCCGCAGTCTCTTCCTCTTCGCCATATTCGCACCCACTATTCCGTCGACATATCCAAAGTCATCCCCGCCATCGCCTTCGCAGTTGTCACTTGCGGAAGTTTCCCCGCCAAACCCCCCCCCACCCTTCTTGCTGCGACATCCCAGTGTCGAGCAGATTCGGAGGATAGGCCGTTTGGCTTTTACTGTGCATGGCACCAATCGCTTCATACAACCGCCGGTCCATGTGGAACTGGTATCCTTTCTCAACACGTTGTTGAGGAGTGAGTGTAAAAAAAGACTGCATGCCCGACTCACCCTATCACACACTATCTGGTACCACCCTATTACTTTCTCCCAACGTTTCATGCTCGCATCCCACTCCTTGATCACCCCTTGTGCGGACATCCTTTTGGCGATGTCCTTCCACTTCCATTCCTTGTTTTTCATTCTAGCGAAATTAGACCCTAGCTGCCATCGCCTCATCGTAATCCCTCTTGCACCACACCAGGACAAGGGACTCGTCCAGACTCCAATACGTGCGGCCGCCACCTGTCCCGCCTCCTCCATCCGCACCAACCACGCTGAGCCTCGCGTTTCCCTTTCCTCTACCCATCCTGGCCCCCGTTTGCTATGTGACACCCGCGGCCTAGGCCACGAGCATTTCGGCCTCTGCGGCCGAAAAGTCGGCCGCGGCCTCAGCCTATGAGGCCCAGTCCGCGGCCTGTTTTTTTAATATTTTTTCTTACCCCTAAAAATACGTAAATATATATATATATATATATATATATAGGGTTCTAGGGTTTGGAAAACCCTACAATCCTATGTTTTTTATTTCGGAATCCGACTTCGTTTAAAATTTTTTAAAAATGAAAAACGAGATTCGAATTAAACAAAAAAAAAAAAAAAAAAAAAAAGCAGGAATTTTTTTTTTGCATTTTTTATCATGAGGGATATGGTCCCTGAGTTGTGCTGTATTTCTTTTTGAAATGACTTGCAGTTTTTTGTTGGCAAATGAGGTGTTTAAATAAAATGAAGATGCAAAAAATTTAAACAAATCAGCAAAAAAAAGGGGCCAGGCTGGGGTTGGTGTGTGTCTCTGTGTCCTCTTGTGTGTGTGTGTGTGTGTGCGTGTGTG